CTTATCTAGGGTATGGGCGGAGAAAGGTGTGGCCACATCAAATTCAGATGTGACCTCAGCAGAAGCAGATGTAACCTCTTCCAGGTGTCCCAGTTGCCTAGGTAACGCAGGTACTGGGTGGAGACTTTGCTGCGAGGAGGGTGGAGTCTGCTGACCTTACAATTAATAATCTATTCAGCTAAGAAGTGAACAAATTCTAAACAGGATAAAATAAAGGAGATCCATTTCTACAAGTATCAGATGGTCAAAAGACAAAGAATCTTGAAAGCAACATCAAAAAAATGAGTTATCAAGCAAAAGGGAACTCAGTGAAGTTAACAGAGTCTGGAATGGTATGCTGAAGATAATGAAAGAAAATAACTCACAATAGAAGGTTCAGTGTCTGTCAAAATTATCACTGAAAAACAAGAAAGCAACAAGATATTCTCAGATAAAGAAAACAGAAAATTCATTGCTAGAAGACCTGCCCTAATAAATCAATAATTATACTAAATGTGAAGCATTAAGCACTTCTATTAAAAGGTTGTAATTGGCACATTGTAAGGAAATATTACAAACTACTGTCTGCCAGTGAAACAGACAATTCAGAAGAAATGGAAAATTTTCCAGATAAACTACAAAAGATAAAATATAAAAGAAGATAAACTCCAAAACTGACTCAAAAATCAAAATCTGTGCCGGGCGCTGGTGGCTCACATTTGTAATCCTAGCTACTCAGGAGGCTGAGATCTGAGGATCATGGTTCAAAGCCAGCCAGGGCAGAAAAGACTGTGAGACTCTTTTTTTTTTTTTTTTTTTGTCGGTCATGGGGCTTGAACTCTGGGCCTGGGCGTGGTCCCTCAGCTCTTCAACTCAAGGCGAGCGCTCTACCACTTGAGCTACAGCGCCACTTCCTGTGAGACTCTTATCTCCAATAAAACACCAAAAAACTGGAAGTGGCGCTCAAGTGGTAGAGTTCTAGCCTTGAGCTGAAGAGCTGAGGGACAGTGCCCAGGCTCAGAGTTCAAACCCCACCACCGACAAAAAAAAAATCAAAATCTGAATACAACTATGGCAAGTAAAGAAATTTAAATTATCAGATTTCCCTCCCCCCCCCCCCATGGTGCAGGGGAGGGCATTTAAACAGTTTCACTGTAGAATTCTATTGAACATTGAAAAGCTCCAATCCTTTACAAACTTTCCCACCAATGAAAAAAGAAATACTTCCTAACTCATTCTATGAAGATAGTTTTTCCCTGAAACCCAAACCAGACAAAGACATTTCAAATAAAGAAAATTTATCCAATATTCCCTATGAACATGGATGTAAAAATCTTCAACAACAACCAGACTACATCCAGGAATATATAAACAGGATTATTTGCTATGACCAAGTATGATTTATTCTAAGAATGAAAATTGGCTCAAACATGTTAATACACTATATTAATAGAATAAAAGCTAAAATCCATTTAATCACCTCATTAACCATAGGGAAAAACATCTTACATAATTAACATTTTTTCACTCTTAAAAGAAAAACCACTTAACAATTTATTAATAGAAACTTTTTCAATCTGATAAAAGGCATCTACAAGAAACTCAGATAGCATGCCAGTGAAATTTTTTACATGGTGAAAATATTTTAGGTAGACTAAGATAAATAAAATATATTACTAAAATTTCTTTTGATCATGTTTAATGTGGCTTGTAGAAAAATTTACATATGAGGTTCAGGTTTGTGGAATGCATTTTATTTCTTTTGGTCAGTGCAATTCTAGACCAGGCCTCCCAGGCTCCAGTAGATCTGGGTCCTCCACTTTGTTGCCCTGTAGGGACTGAGCGATGGAGAGGTGAAGGCAGATCAGGGTGATCCTTTTGGTTTGGAGTTGTAGAAACCAGAGATAAAGAGATGCATTATGCAGGCTTTCTATGAGGGAAAGAGCTTTGTTTTGTTCACAGCAGAATTCCTAGTTCCTGGAACTGACAGTCAGAACTGGCAGCATGAAATTGGTAGTATAAAAAGGTTCAGCAAGATGTAGTGGTGTTTATGGCTGAGTGGTTGTTTAGCCACCTAATGTTGAATATTTAACCAGTCCTGCTGTGAGTGCATAGAATGTAGGAAGCAAGGTGTGTGGGGGTGGGGGCGGGGAGGGCAGACATAGCATTTGATAGTCTAATCATGAGATGGTATAGGAGATACTGAAGGGGACCAAAAAGAACTAGATCCTGGTGGTTGCTGTTTGTCAGTGTGAGTTTCTTGTTGCCAGGGTTTTTAATTGTAAAAGTCAAAATCTTTACTCAGTAACATTTTTTATGTATAGGGGAAATATTTATATTTGAAGTTTGTGCTGAATATAAAACGAGTTGGCTTTCAGATATCAGCATCTAACTCAAAAAATTTAAATGAGCATATCAAAACCTTCCACCCATTCCACAGACTTTCTCTTCACTCTTGTTTCCTTTCCTGTGGAGAAACTTCAGTTAATATATCCCATTTGTCTATTTTTGGCTTTGTTGTAAACATCATCTTATTCAGAGCAAATGCCCACATTTTCTTCTACTAGTTTCATAGTTGCAAGTTTTTTATTTAAGTCTTTATTTTTAGTTGATTTTAGTATATGATGAAAGCAGTTTAGTTTCACTCTGAATATTCTTGAGCATATTCCGTTTTCCCAACACTGTTTATCAAAGAGATTAGACCCTTTCTGACAAATGTTTTTGACACCCTTGTCAAGTCAGTTGGCTGCCTGGTATACTTCTGTGGATGCTAAAACAGATTATCTCATGGAAATAGAGTAGAAGTGTGGTTACTACTGGAAAGGGTAGAAAGGGGTAAGGGAGTGGTTGATGGAGTGAAAATTATAATTAGATAGCAGGAAGGTCTAGTGTCTCACAGTGGAGTTAGTAGTTAATAATTTACTGTATTTTTCAGAATAGAAATGTTTGAGGTAATGATGGGTATACAGTCACACATTGAACATATGTATCAAAACATACTATACCCCATAACTACATATTTCCTTAGCTATGAAAGTAGACAACGTAAGCAGTTCTAGCATTGGAAGCTTGCCAAATCTCCTTGTTTATGTCTTCTATCGTAAGGTTTCATATCCTATTAAACTATTTCTCCTTCTTAACAGTTGTACACTTACACTCTGCATTTGTGAATGCAGAATGAATTTGTGAACGTTTAAAATCTGTCTCTTCTGTAGAGTTTCCATGAACTCCATGTGAACAATGCTGGATTTATTTTGTACTAGTCAATACTCGGTGAATGAATAAGTGAAATAGATAAGACAAAGTAATCTTGAAACATATTCCATAGTAAAGAGGTTAAAAACCTGATTCCATCATCTCACTTGAAATTAGTGTTGAAACATTCAGTCCAACAGCAAGTTGTGTTGTCTTATTCAGTGTAAAGAAAAATTTCAGGTAGGCGCTGGTGGCTCATGCCTGTAATCCTAGCTACTCAGGAAGCTGAGATCTGAGGATCATGGTTCAAAGCCAGCCCAAGCAGGAAGGTCCATGAGACTCTTCTCCAGTTAACCACCAGAAAAACCAGAAGTAGCACTGTAGCTCAACTGGTAGAATACTAGACTTGAGCAAAAGAGCTGAGGGACAGTGCTCAGGCCCCAAGTTCAAGCCCCACAACTAACGGAAAAAAAAGAAAAAACATTTCCCCTACTAAACAGACATTTTAGGTCTGTCTACATTTGTATATCCCAGAACACATTTCACAATGTATTATGCATAATACATTGATACAGTCAGTAGTAGCTTATCCTCTGGACTTACTGCTTTCATGGGAAAAATAAAAACAGTTCTTCCCTTGGACAGCTAATATAGATATATACTTTTTCAACTTCTGGAATTTAAATCTTGTAATTCTTTTAGGCTATGGAAGAACGGAAGGCTGAAGGATAATGTGTAAGAATCACTGGATCCAAAGTTCTCTATTACAACACTCATCAAGGGAAATGATAATAACTCGTCAAAAATAATATCTCAAGCCAGCCACCAATGGCTCATGCTTGTAATTGTACCTACTCAGGAGGCTGAGATCTGAGGCAGAGGATGAGGAGAATCAGATTTTGCTTTGTGCATTTTGAAGTTCCGTATTTGATGCATAAACATTTAGAAGTGTTGTATCTTCTTAGTTAATTCACTCTTCTATTAGTATAAAATGATCTTATATTACATGTAATTTCCTTTGTGGTGAGTATAGCCTCTTAAATATTTCTTTTGATCTATGTGTAGAAGAAGCTTTCATTTTACTCTATTCTACTTGTGTCTTTATATTAAACATGTTTCTTATAAATAATAGACTTCCAAGCCCTGTGCCCTATATGCTTTGAACTGGAAAGGGAGTAAGCTAGGAAGCATTAGGGTTCACCTTGTTTGTTCCCATCCTTCAGAGATTCCATGCCCAGCATGGCCCAGTGTCTTGAGGACAGTGGTTTTATATATTTAATTGCTGTTTTATTTGGGTTATACATGGACAAAGATAAAGGTTAACAGAACATTCAGAGTTTAAAAAATATAAATATCCCATGAATGTATATTTTTAAAATGTTTTACTTCATGATAGTAGTGGTAATATTAATAATCACAATAGCTATCATTTTTTTTTTGGTCTAATTATCTAAGTGCTCAACAAATTAATTAGTTTGATTCTTTATGAAGCAAATGGGCAATTATTATCAGTATTTTATAAATGGCAATTGAGTCAGGAGACTATGACCTTTGTCAGGGTGACAGATTATAAGCCATCAGAATCTAGAGCATTGCTCCTCTATAACTTCTCAAAGAAACTACTTGAAACTACTTAAAATCCACTGCAGATTTGCCAAGAAACTGATCATTTATTCCAGACTACACAGCCTATAAGTGATACATTGAGTTAAAAATTGTGGAAAGGACAATTGTGAGGTTGAAGAGAGGAAATAAAAATATGGTAACTAAAGTGAACATCAGAGAAAATGCCTTTTAATTTTTATAAATCAACCTTTTTTTTTCAGAATATTTAAAAGATACTTCAAAGAAAATGAAAAGTGGCCTTATGTTTGTAAAATTGATTAACCCATGTTCAGGTAAGTCTCTCCACACAGTATCCCTTCCCATCTCCTTTCTTCCTTGTTGAACATTATGGCCAATGCACATTTGGCATTTGATTTGCCTGTGTCTTCTTTGTTTTAAAGTGAAGGTGCCATCATGAAGTGATGAAAGCTGATGGCATTAAGACCCTTCCCAGATTATTCATTTGACTTAAACTTTAAAAAATTCCTATAATTTTACTTCACAGAACTTGTCAGTCATCAGAACTATTGGCATAACAAAAAAGTAGCATGCTTGAATTCTCCCTGAAAACAGATCGACTTTTTTTTGGCTTCCCTACACTAGCTTCTCTTAAAGTAGTTTTCTTAACGTTAGTTCATTTTATGTTAGGAAGTAAAATAGACAACTAAAATAAAAGCAGAAGGTTTTTATTTGGCATGCTGAGATTTTGATTAGTTTCATTTTTAGCTGTACTTTCCTCCTTTTATTCTTACCAAAAAGCGGTACATTTTTTCCCAATCAGGAATGATTAAAAAAAAAAAAAGCATTGCATATTACAGAGGCATATAGTTTATTGGAAAAGTTTTAACTTTATATTCAATACATATTCAATTTTATCTCCTAATTTTTTTTAGAAATAGTACTCAGCTACATAGTGATATTAGTGATGTCATTCATCTCTGTGCAGAATTGTTTTTCCATTAATTTGTAAGGTTTTGAGTAGACATCTGATATTTAGCAAGTTAGAAATTCCCTAGTGACCATATAAGTGAAGGTAAGGGAAAGGCAATGGTAGTACCTTTTTGGAAAGATTATAAATACAACAATGAGAGAGGAAAACTTCAATTAAATTGAATGTAATTGGTTACTTATTTGAAATTTTTAATTATGCCTGAATATAAGTTAAGATAAGAAAAATTTCTTCAAGAAAAGTTTTAGGTAATAGTAAACTATCCAAAGCATTTAACAAAAATATAGGTACAAAAGAAAGCAAGCCTTTTTCCAAAGTATCTAAATGTGTAGAGGCAACACAGGAGCAGGTGTTTTTATTTTCTAGAATAGCAATCAAAACATAAGGGTGAGCTAAGCACTTACTATGTTTTAAGTAAGATATTTACATGTTTATCATAATCTTTATAAAAACCTTTTGAAATAGGCTTGATGTTGTCCCATAGACAGATGTAGAAGCAGAGGCACATAAAGGTTATATAACTTCCCTAGTGATACTGAGAAAGTGATGGACACAGAGTTAAACTTAGGTCCTTGATTCTAGAGGTCATCCTATAATTGGGGAGGAAATTCATGAGTTGAGGAGGTTAAACATAAGATATGCACAGGCTTCATTCCTTCTACCCTTTCACTTTTTTTAAAGAAAAAAAATGGAAGCATGGAAGTATGGCTCAAGTGGTAGAGTACCAGCTTTGAGTGTAAAAGCCAAATGAGCATGTAAGACTCCAATACCAGCACAAAAAGGAAGGAAAGAAGGAAGGCAGGAAGAGAGGGAGGCAGGGAAAAATCCATCCCCTTTACTGGGGCTTTACTCACTTGCTGTGTCCTTGCATTTTTTACCTAGTTTGGCCCTTGGAGTTTAGAGCTTGGTCCTCAGCGTAGTTCCTGTGTATGTGTGTGGAGGGTGGGGGAGAACACATGCTGGTCTGGAGAGGGAACCCATATGCCAGCTCAGAACATCTGGCTAAATCACTAGGGTTTGGGAGTTTAGGTCTGTTTTTCCCTCTTGATCTGATGGCAGATTCAATGAGAGATTTTGTAGCAGTTAACATAAATGACTTGTACTTTTTACTTTTATGGTTTAAATTCAGTGAGGTTTATGGAGCTGGAAAATAAGCATCTGGGTATAATAGCCATAAGCTTTCTGTGGAGTCAGTTTGTATAGAGAATATCTATATATGTTTATGTTTATATTAGGAACATTCTTCAGAACTATGTCTAGGCTTTTGATGTGTGTGTATATGTGTGAGAAAAATTACAAATAAAAAACAGATTTGTCTTGCAGGGGAAGGGACCATTTACTTGTTCAATATGTGTCTACAGCAGCTGTTTGAAATCAAAGTTTTCAAGGAAAAACATCATTCTTGGTTTATAAATCAGTCAGTTCAATCAGGTAAGCCACTGGCGCACGTATATATGTATATATACCTAATATATACATATATATACATAATACATATACATAATATATATACATATATATTGTATATATACACATTAACTAAACACATGCTTTAGCTTTTCTGTGCTTCTCACATGGGGTTGCAGTCAGTGGTAGAGCTTTCAATGGCATCAGAAAGGGTTTAGTACAGAAGAAAAGAAAGACAACTCTAGCATTAAACAAAAAAGCCAAGTGAAAACGTAAGACACTGAGTACAACCCCAGTACCAGCACACACAGAAAAAGAAAGAAATGGAAAAATCCATTCAATTTACTGGGACTTGGGTCTCCAGTGATGTGTGTCCAGATAGGAAACTTTAACAACTCTGATTTGTCTCCTAACACATCAACACATACTTAGGCAGAAGTGAGATTACCTTTGTACAGTGAAGTATATGTTGAGTTGACTAGAAATTCCTTCTCCTGAAGATCTCCAAGTTTTTAACTTATTCCCTTGAGCATCCTAATATAAATCTAAAATATATTTGAATTTAACATCCTTTGTCATGTGAATTACTGTCCACTATGATATATAAATGATGATATGAGAAATAAATAAGTTGATATGAGATATAAATTACTCTCTGCTATGATAACAAGAACCTGAGAATGCCAACCCTACAAGAAAGAATATTTATGTAGGTTCTCAGTTTTGGAAGTTTCATTCCATGGTTCATTGGCTCTCTTGCTTTGGAGGCCTGCACTCTGTGTCATGTTAGTAGTGTGTGGTGAAACCACTCACCCCATGGCCAGGAATTAAAGACAGGAATAGAAAGAGATCAGAGTCCCACAGTCAACTTTGAGAGCACACCTTAATGACCCCAGACATCCCACTGACCCTCACCTCTGAAAGGTTCTACAATTTCCCAAAATATCACTCTGGAATAAAAGTTTAATATATGGGCCTTTGGGGGCCATTCTAGATTCAAAATATGATTCTCCTACCCACCCATATATATATATATATATATATATATACCCATACACAAAAGCCACCACCACCAAAATTCTAGGTGAAGAGGGGAAAAAAGATTCAAGAAAGCCATGTTCTCATCCAGGTTTGGAGTGAGTTGGGGTTATGTAGCTGGTAGATATCTGAGGCAGTCTGCATTCCCACTGCTCACACCTGCATTGTTGTCAGAAAGCGCTTTGCTGTCATTTCTCAGCCTTTTGAATATGATCAAGTGCACAACAAGTTTCCTGCTTCTCCCTCTGTCCTCTGTCTGTTGGCTCCATGTGTAATGCTAAGGTACAAAGGCCACTTTGATTGTCTCTCTGGACAAAGGATTGCTGCTTGTAAGAAATTTTTTTTTTTCTTTTTTTTTGTGGTCATGGGGCTTGAACTCTGGGCCTGGGCACTGTCCCTCAGTTCTTCAGCTCAATGCTAGCACCCTACCACTTGAGCCACAGCACCACTTCCAGTTTTCTGAGTGGTTTATTGGAGATAAGAGTCTCACAGACTTTCATGCTCAGGCTGGCTTTGAACCATGATCCTCAGATCTCAACCTCCTGAGTAGCTAGGATTACAGGCGTGAGCCACTGGCGCCCAGCTAAGAAATTATGTTTTCATATTTACTTATTAACTAATATATTTATTTTAATGGGATTGGGTTTTTGAACTCTGGCCTCATGCTTACTAGGCAAGTATAATACCACTGACCCTTACCTCTGGCCCCTTTTTGGACTGATTATTTATGAGATAAAGTCTTTTTTCCTGCCCAAGTTCATGCTTGAACCTTGATCCTTCTATTTTAGGTTTCATGCCATAGTTCCATGCTATAACTCAAACAGTAGAGAACCAGCTTCTTAAGCAAGCATGAGGCTCTGAGTTCAAACCACAATACTGGCAAATTTAATTCTAAAGAGAAAAGTATTTTAAAGTATAGCCACCACAAAGGTGGACAAATATGGTCGTGGTATTAAGTATACACAGTGGGAAAAATAAACTATGCAACTTGTGGGCAAGGATGATGGGAGGGAGAAACAGGGAAAGTGAAGGAAAGGGTAACATTGTCCAAAAAGAAATGTACTCCTTATCTGACTTATGAAATGGTAGCCCCTCTGTGCAACACTTTAATAATAATGATAAAATTATATTTAAAGAAAGAATAGCCACCACCATAATACTATTGTTAGACCTAAAAACCTATTCCTAGTTTCTGTGTATAATAGAAACTTAAAATTAGCTTGAAAAGCTTTTGATAGGTTATTTTTACAAACTTCATCCTTTTAAAAATAATTAAAAGGCATCATAATATAAGATTATGTTTTTCTTAGAATACATATAATTTAGAGTTAAGATATCTATCTTTCTTCTATATGTAGGTTGGTCTGAGAATAGAAATAAGTACATGTGTTTCCTGAAACTAAAATAAAGTTTGGATGAGGCAAATGAAGTGTTTATTGTTTTATTAATGAAAATACCTCCTGTGGTTCAGCTCTATAAAAAGAGGAGCCCAGGATGGGGTTGAGGACGCTGGGAGTCTTTTTTGTGGTTGCCCTTTTTCCCTTCCACCCAGAGAGCAGAGTTCTCAGTTTGCTTGGTTAGACACTGCTCATTTGCCTTTTTCCTCTTGAGCAAGCATTGAGGTGCAATAAGGAGCTAAAGCAGTGAACTGAATGATGACCCCCAGGCCACAGGACAGAAAGCCAAGTCAGCTTCATCCTCAAAGGCACATGAAGTTACATTATCCTGTAGCTTAAGGCAGACTTTTTCTTTTTTTTTTTTGTGGGGGTGGGTGGGGGGCTTTGGGGGGATGGGAAGGAGGGTGAGGAAGGGAGAAACTATAAAAATGATTTCTAAAGAAATGGAAAGTTAAAACTGTATTCTGGTGTTTAAACTCTTTTTTTTCCACATGAGTTTGGGTAATCTCAGAGCCCACAATAATTTTTGAGAGAGATTTACCAATCATGAGAAAACCTTACCTAAAGACAGTAGGACCTGAGATATCTGATTTGAAAGAAAACGAGTGCATTTAAATGAAATAATTTCTTGCCACTTATTAACCTAATGGAAGCATGACAGACTGTCACATAAGCCACAGAATGAGATTTCTTAGGTCTGTATAAAAGCTGCTCAATTTGATATTTCGTATGTATTTTTCAACAAATGTTTGTTACAATGAGATTAAGATGCAGTAGCCAAGTTGTCCTTCTAAGCAACTTTGTTCTTTTTCATTCACAGGAGGCCTTCTTCACTTTGCCACCCCTATGGACCCTCTATTTCTGCTCCTCCACTACTTCATAAAAGCTGACAAACAGGTAAACTGTCCCCTTGACATGTTGGCAGTGAAGTGACAGAAGAGACTGTTTTTTATGATTGTTTTGTTTATTTGTGTATATTAACTGAACAAAGTGGTTTTATTGCGATATTTCCATCCATGTATATAATGTACTTTGATAAAATTTTCCCCCTCTATTACTCTTTCTCATCCTCCTTTGTTACTTTTTAAACAATTTTTAACTGGCTTCACTATCATGTTTTTCATACATGCATGTAAGTTACAAGAAGAGACAATCTTGCTTGACCTCCCTTCTCCACTCATGTCCGAGATGATATCTCAGGTGCCTGTAATCCTAGCTACATAGGAAGCATAAGTAAAAGGAACTTGGTCCATGCTAGTCCACTCAAAAAGTGAGACCCTATTTGAAAATAACCAAAGCAAATGGTTCTAGAGGCATGACTCAAGTGGAGGGTACCTATCTAGGAAGTACAAGGCCTTGAGTTCAAACCCCGTACCAAACCAAACCAAAACAAAGGAGAAGGCAACAATGCTCCATAGGAAATGTACTCATTACCTTGCTCATGTAACTGTAACCCCTCTGTACAGTATTTTTACAATTAAAAACATACAAAAAAAAAAAAAAAAGAAATGCTAACATCAAACACACACACACACACACACACACACAAACTACAGAATATAGTTTAGGAACCACATAAAACAAACTTACAAGCATTTACAATTTTTAAAAGAAACCCACCAGTCTCATAAACAGTTCAAATAATTCTTTTATTCAAAGTTTCCAACACAAGGTCTCCATACTGCTGTTGACGAATCCTTGAGGATTCCTAATTCCCTTTCCTGGGATTCTCAAGCTCAAAACATTATTATTGTCATAAATAATACTAAGATGCTACTGGCTTCTTCACTGTGGATATGATACTAATCATTCAAAATCTAGAGGATTAAACTGCCAGCTCCTCAGCTGAAGTCAGGGCAGTGACATCAACTACCCTAGCTGCCACTGTATTCTCTAGCACCATATACTTGAAGTTTAAAAGATAACAGTTTTGCCAGGCAACAGTGCTCACACTTGTAATCCTAACTATTCAGGAGGTTGAGATTTGCGAAACACAGTTCAGAGACAGCCCAGGCAGGAAAGTCCATGAAATTCTTGACTCCAATTAACTAGCAAAAAGCTGAAGTGGAGCTGTGGCTCAAGTGGTAGAATGCAAGCCTTGAGCAGAAAAAGCTAAAACACAGTGGCCATGCCCCGAGTTCAGGCCCAAGTGTCTGTGCAACAAAAAGGCCAAAAAAGATACCAGTTTTGCAAATTGCTTCCTGTATTTTCATTGTGTGTGTGTGTGTGTGTGTGTGTGTGTGTGTGTGTGTGTGTGTGCATGTAGTTGCATAATAAAGAAATTCAGAAATACTAATTTTGAAGCTATTTTATATTGTGACTGTGTGGTGGTCCATTATGTGCTAAGTATTGCCTTGGGGTACTAAAATATTTAAAATATTAGCTGATCATAGAAGACCATAGTTGTAAGGTAGAAATCTACAGACAGCAAGACTTTGGGGATGTGTGGTGGGAGGAATCTGTGATTGGAGGGAAAATGAGAACATTTCTTAGCACTTGTTAACCTGATAGTGTGGCAAGCTGTCACACATGCTACTGAATGAATAAGATTTCACTCTTAAAATTAAAGAAAGCTGCTCTTGCAGAAAGAAAACTGATCAGATTTTCTGTCTTCTAAAGCTTGGTCACAGAAACCAATGATCAGAGTTAGAACCTGGGCAATCTCATACCTGTTAGAGGCCTGGCATCCCTAAATCAGGGCACTGATATCTTTGCTTAGCCAAACTTTGTTTCCCTTGCAATTTGTAAGATTAAGAGAAGCTAATCATAACTGAGAAGAATATGGTTCTGAATTTTGTGGTTTACACAGCGCATGCTTAGACAGTCCTACCTAGCAGAAGCTGGTTTAGAATGTCTAAATGTGCTGATCCAGACTTCTCTGTGACCATAGTGGGCCCTTCTTCAAATTGAAAGGTTGGGTCACTTTGGGCAATCTCAAGATCTTGGGGCTTCCTAAACTTACTAGGGGTTTTGTCCCCTTCTTCATTTGGTGCCTACTGTGTAAAATTCTTGCTTACAAAAGCTTCCTAAAGTGAATAGAGAGTGAATCTAGTTCTAAGCTCATCCCATTTGAATGATTCCTTGGATAGAACAAGGGGGTCTTATCTAAGTTCAAAGGACTAGCCATGTGGTGATGTGTCTTTTTCTCTCCTTATGTGTAGCTAATCCATGAGAGTGTTTGCATTCTGATTGATTAATGTGTTTTTTTCAGGGCAAGTTTCAGCCCCTAGATCAAGTTGTGGTGGATGATGTATTTCCAGATTGCATCTTGTTGCTGAAACTGCCGGAACTTGAGAAGTTACTTCACCATGTGACAGAGGAAAAAGGTACAGCATGTGGGCCTCTGAGATCAGGCTGATTGAAAGGTCACGCAGCAGCTGCAGAAAACTCCCTGGTGATGCTTATTCTTCATCGGTGGAAGGGAAAGCTGTTATGCAGGGTGGCTCTACTTGTCAGTAGATTGCCTACTTTGGAGCTGCACACAGTGAAATCTGCTGGTTATCCACAGAAAGGAGTCATAGAACATGGCTTTAGTCTCAGTATTTCTTTGACTTTAGGCAACTGACTTTATTGCTTTAGTCTTCAGCTTTCTCATTTGTCAAAGTGTGTAAAACTGTACTTACATTGAATATCTTCTGAGGTCCAGGCTTTGGGGATAAATAAGACACTGTGCATTTACTTACTTTGCTTTGAGTTTGACTGAGGCAAGTGACAAGCAGTGCACAGGTATGACAGGTCGAAGTGATCCCTGTATTTCTAGGGATGCATAGGATGGGCTTGGGCTGGGTGTGGATGGGGTGAATTGGTGGATATTGTGTTGCTTTCTAGGGGGTGGGGAGGGATGACTTCTGAGTAAAGCCTAGAAGGATGAGTCAAAATAGCAGCACAACAAAGGCATGGGCATGTGCAAAGGTGGTCATGGAGGAAAGTTCTAAGAGTGCCAGCAGTAAGGTTTTAGGGAATTGCACTGAATTAAGGCAGGAAAGCTGGGCAAAGGTTCAGAATGGGGGGTGGGGGGGGGGCTTTTATGTACCTGGTCTTGTCCCAAGAGTCATGGCATGCCTGTGAAAGTTTCATAAGGACATTGTGACTATGTGAAGAATGTACTAGAAAAGCCAAGACCAGGAGCAGAGAACTGTTACAATAATCTAATCTGAGCTTAAGAGATGGAGCTAGAAGCAAGAAGCAATTTAGACCCAGAACTAATCACATGAATGGTCCAATGTGGTCAAGGAAAGGGAGGAGTCAAGAATGATTTCTAGGTTAGCTCCTTGACCCAGAGGATATGTGGTGGTGGCATGGAGGAGCGAGCAGGCCAGGGAGAGAAGTAGATTGTAGCATTTATTTATTTGATTTTTTTTTTTTTTTTTTTTTGGTCAGTTGTGCAGCTTGAACTCTGGGCCTGGGTGCTGTCCCTCAGCTCTTCAGCTCAAGGCTAGTGCTCTACCACTTGAGCCACTGTGCCACTTCCGGCTTTTTCTGCTTATGTGGTGCTGAGGAATCGAACCCAGGGACTCATGCATGAGAGGCAAGCACTCTGCCACTGAGCCAACTTCTCAGCCCTATTTATTTGAATTTTGAAAGGAGGAAGCGAGACACTGTGGATGGATGTATTTTGACAGGTTAGAATCACTGAAAAGAAAACTTTACATCAGTGTCATTAAAAAAACCACCCCAATAGTTTCAGGGTTAATCTGGAAAATGGTGTGGGAATGAGAACAGGCCAATAAGCTGAAGCTGTTGGGGTCATAGATAGTCTGGCCAACTGACAGTTCTAAGACTTAAGAAAGCAGTGATTCCAGTAAGTGTAAGTTTACAGTGGGAAAGGGAGAACCTTGCTGGTTGCATTTCATGTCTACTAATTCTTTCTTGGCCACACTTACGGCTCCACTTTGGATCTAGGGGGTGCATGGCGCCAAGATCTTATCAAAGCAGTCCCATTAAAGGCATTCCCTGATTCTGAGTTTGTAGGAGACAGGAATCTTTTTGTGGGTGACAAATGAAATAGCCCATAACCACTTTTGAAAGCTATAGTAATGAAGAATAATTACAAGTCATTTTAATTTCTGTCAACTTAACATGAGTTGAAAATGCAATTAACTTATCCAGAATTCTGCCATTAGCTATATAAAAACAGTCATCTTAAAACAAAACTCAGAAACCCAGATGCCAAAAACAGGACTAAAGCCTCCTGCTTGCTTGCTTCAAGTCTGTGTCTTAGAACAGGCCTTCTCTCTCTCATTCCTTCCTTCCAGCTATCTGTTGTGTCACTGAATTTCTGTCCCAGTTCCCTTTACTTTTCCACATTACCTAATACTCTTAGAAGATCTGCACTTTCTTTTTTGAAAGTAGCTGTTACCAGCTTTTATGTGTGCTGTGTTTGTGTTGTGTTTGTGTGTGTGTGTGTGAGTATGTGTGTGTGTTATATAATTAGGTTTCTAAAACCTAGGCCTGATGTTTTTCTTTGTTTTGTTTAAATGATAGTAAGTGAAAGAGAAGTCATTCAGAATAAGTGTCACATGCAACAGACATGTACCATAGAGGTTTTGGCAATTTTCTCAGAATCAATTTTTTTCCATGAAAGAACAATAGTCTATAAAGTTGAAGTAAAGAAAGGTTTAAAAACAAAATCACATAGGGTTAAATAACTCATGCCTGTAATCCTAGCTACTCAGGATACTGAAATCTGAAGATGGTAGTTTGAAACTAGCCTGTGCAGGAAAGTCTGTGAGACTCTTATCTCTAGTAACCAGTAAAAAGCCCCAGAAGTGGAGTTGTGGTTCAAGTGGAGCTGTGGTTCAAGTGGTAGAGAGCCAGCCTTGAGTGGAAAAGCTAAGGGACAACACCCAGGCCCTGAGTTCAGATACCAGTACTGATACAAAAAAATGCATACACACACAACCAAACACGTGTGTGTGTGTGTGTGTGTGTGTGTGTGTGTGTGTGTGTGTGTGTGTGTGTGTGTGTGTGTGTGTGTGTGTGTGTGTGTGTGTGTGTGTGTGTGTGTGTGTGTGTGTGTGTGTACTGGTCCTGGGGCCTGGACTCAGAGCATGGGTGCTGTCCCTGACCTTTTTTCCCATGTCTAGTGTTGTACCACTTGAGCAATTGCACCACTCCAGTCTTTTTGCTTGTTAATTGGATATGGGAGTCTTACATACTTTCCTGCCCTGGTTGGCTTCAAACTACTGCCCTCAGATATCAACCTTCTGAGTAGCTAGGATTACAGGTGTGAGCCACTAGCACCTAGCCCAAACAATAAATTTTAAAATAAAAAAGAAGGGAAGGAAGGAGAGGCTTCAGCCTCTAACAGATTCTTTATCAAAATGTGTATAAGCAATTCTCCATTACTTGCTTCACCATTTTGCCTAAAATATATGTGAGCTGTTTTTCTGTATGTAAGGCCTGTGTAGTAATGTGGACATCTTTTTCTATGAAAATCTGCAAGGGAATGTTTATCATTAGGGGCTTATAATTGATTATGAGAGCCTATCAAACAAGAAAAGTATTAGACAGGCTTCTCCATACAGCAGCATTTATGTACTTACTAATTTATGTCTGTTAACAGCCCTTCAGTAATTCCCTTTCATTGCTTTTGTAATCTGCATCTTTACAGATGAGGAAACCAGGACTCAAAAGGTTTAACTAAGCTGCCTGATATCCAAGAATGTGAAGTAGTAGATCCAGCATCTATCCCCAAGTCTGTTGATAGCGACTCTTGCCCTTCCTTTTTTAATGCTCTGAATTACTTCCATGATATTCAGATATTCAGATTTTAGGTGGTATCTAAGGTTAAAATAGAAACATGCTTTACTTTTGAAATCTTGGGGAATCCCCATTAATTATTGTCTTTTGTATGGAAGATGGAGGCAGGAAGGGAGACAGTGCTGAGACAGCTTCAGAAGCAGACACTTACCTATGCAGAGAGTGCCCAGGCCATCATTGAGTGATTGTGTTGAGTATATCAGTTGCTTATTTGAATTTGGATCATTGTCTTCTTAGAAATTAGTGTTTGGCTCCATCTTGTCAATTTTTCTGCCTACTAAAGTGGGATCAGAATACATCTATAAGAGGGAGCAAAGGTATAGAAAGAAAAGCTGTTTTTTTTGGACTTTTTTCCCCATGGTCCCTTGAACAGAGAGTAAAATCTGAAATATCCCCTGGCTCCCCTGCTAGTTGGATATTAGCATAATAAACTCAGCCCAAGAAAGGCCGCAGTGGCTGTGGCAATAAATTTGAGTCCTGTCCTGATCTCCAGGTGTATGTAAGCCTTCCTTTTCCTCTGCCTTCTCCCTGATGCAAGCCCTGCCACTATCACTGGGTGATCTGAATGAACGTGGCTATGACCTTAGCCCTGACTTCTTTATTACTGCTGAAAATGCACTAATAAATAAAGTCTTCATTTGCTTACTCTGGGGCTTAGAGTACATTTCTGGCCAACAAAGCTCACATTCAGTGGAGAGGTGACCCCAGGAGGGAGTAGTAAAGAGTCACGAACTTTGCCTTGCCTGTAATAGTCTGTTTCATGGTACAAGCCAAAGCTGCACCATACTGTCTGATGTGATTAACAAGAAGAGCCAAGAAAACTTACCTGATTAAAATATCCCAGTACAATTGCCAAGATTCTGTCCCAGGAGACAGAGAAACAAGCGACTATATGAGTTTCTCAGTTATGGAAAACATTGAGAAAATAGAAGTGAAAATGTGCTCTAGGCAGTTTATTCAACGATACATTGGGGAAATTCAAGTTTGTGAACCGATTACTCGATTGCTGAACATGCAATTAAATTGTGGACTCACATTTATTCCATCTTTATTTTGTAAGTCCAGACTTTCCAGATGCTTCAGGCTAGTTTTATAGGCACCAGAGACATAGGAGGAAACCCTCTAGAACATACACATATTGTCTAACCCACTGACTCTTATAGTATGAAATTTAGGACATGCTGTAATGTCATGTTTTTCATAATTACCAATAGTTTGTGTAGTCTTCATGAATATTTTAGACTTTCTTACTTTTCAGAATTTATAAATTTCAAAAATAACCTATAGTTTATTCACTGGGCCTTGTGTAGTACCTGCAATAACGTGATTACTTTATTTAGGCAATGTTTAATTTAAAAATAAGGTACAATTTTAAAATTTTCTAGAAAGAAAACTCCAGGTCCAAATGGCTTCACTAGTGAATTTTATTCTACCTTAAGGAATAAATAATACTCAAAGCAATAGTTCTTGTCTAACTCTTTTGGCAAATAGATGAGGAAGGAATTTTGCAAAACTAATTTTATGAGACTAGAATTGCCCTGCTAACAAAATTAAAATTGTTATAAAAAGAAAATTAGATCATCTTATTCCATCATAGCTTGAAACATTCTTTTTTTTTTTTTTTCCTTTTTTTTTGGTCGGTTGTGAGGCTTGAACTCTGGGCCTGGGCACTATCCCTCAGCTCTTTAGCTCAAGGTGAGCGCTCTACCACTTGAGCTACAGCACCACTTCCAGTTTTCTAGTGGTTTAATTAGAGATAGGAGTCTCACGGTCTTTCCTGACCGGGCTGGCTTTGAACCACGATCCTCAGATCTCAGCCTCCTGAGTGGCTAGGATTACAGGCGTGAGCCACCAGCACCCAGCTAAGCTTGAAACATTCTTAACAAGGTATTATTAGATTATTAGAAAAATCAAGTCTAGAATTTCTTATTTCTCACCTTAAAAGCCAAGATAAATGCAAGTATATTGTCACAAGTTCCTATACTGTTCCTGAAACAATCTGTTAACTAAAAGTAGACCGTGATAGCTTAAATACATGTAAGTACCAAATGAAGTAATTAACAAAACAAAACAACAAAAAAAATCATGTCTACAAAAATCAAATACATGAGCTCTAAGTGGGATTTATTATAGGAATGCGAGGTTGTTTGAAACTTAGAAATTTAGAGTAATTCACAAATTTATACATTACCAAAAGAAAACTACTTGGTCAGATCTAATAGTACAGAAAAGGCAATAGACAAAATTCATTCCTGAAATAAATTCTCAGCAAATCAAGAACAGAAGAGCACTTTCTAATATGCTAACATGTATCCGTGGCAAATTCCTTAGGTTATCTTATAAATGACTGAATGAAACATATAGTTATATGAACATGTTTTCTTTATATCCTTGTTCTGTAAACTTTTTCTTATTCTTTAAAAGTTTGTTAACAAACACACACATGAGCTTAGGCTACACAGAATCAGGATCTTCATCACTGTCTGCCACTTGCACATTTTTGGCCCACTGGCAGGACTGCAGGGGCAGTCTAACTCATGGGGCTCTCCTTTCCTGTGATCACTACAGCTTCTTTTGGAACACTTCCTGAACTACCTGTGGAGGCTGTTTCACAAATAGGAGTACAGTCAGAAAGGACAATAAAAAGTAGTGTACTTAGCACCTAAGCGAATAGTGTAATTTTTTTTAGCATAATTAAGTCATTTTGCTGTACTTAATTGTGCGGGCTAGACTTTTATACAACTAACAGTGTAGTAGGTTTATTCACAATAGTATCACCACAAAGATATGTGTGATTCCTTGTACTCCCAACATTACAATACCTACAGCACTAGATGCAATTCTATTAGAATCTTACAGGACCATTGTTTTATATATGATCGAAAATGTCATTCTACAGTGTGTGACTACTAGCATTGAACAACTGGATAGTAGAATCCAGAATTGGGGCTGGGAAGGTGGATCAGTGGTAGAGCGCTTGCCTTGTATGCCTGAGGCCCTGGGTTCGATTCCTCAGCACCACATAAGCAAAAAGAAAAAAGCCAGAAGTGGCGCTGTGGCTCAAGAGGTAGAGCGCTAGCCTTGAGGTGAAGAGCTGAGGGACAGTTCCCAGGCCCAGAGTTCAGGCCCCACGACCGGACCCCCCCCCCCAAAAAAAAAAAAAAGAAAAGAAAAAAAAAGAAGAGAAAGAGAAAAAAATAGAATCAAAATATAACATTTATGTGATCTTCAAAAATTATGAAGTATTGAGGGGTAAATATGACCCAGTATATGTAAGATCAGAATAAGGAACACTACAAAACATTGCCAAGAGAAATCAATGAAAAACTAAATAGGTAGAAATACAACACATTCATATATTGAAAGATTCCATATTGTTTAGTAGATTCAATGTTTAGCAGACTTTCTTTTTTGCTAGAAGTTGATAAACTGACTCTAGAATTTATATGACTCAAACAGTATGGAGGTTCCTTAAAAGACTACATGTAGAGCTCCCCTATGACCCAGTAATCCCACTTTTAGGCACTTACCCAAACGATCACAAACAAGGCCATACTAAAACTACCAGTAAAACTATGTTTATTGCAGCATCATTCACCATAGCTAAGATATGGAACCAACCTAGATGCCCCTCAGAGATGAATGGATCAAGAAAATGTGATATATACTCCTGGTTGGGTTTGTATTGTAATTCTGAACCGTATTACCTCAGGAAAAAAAGGTTCAGTTATGGAGGAAGCAGAGCTGGCAAAAGAATCAGAGAAGTAGTCAGTCTCATAGAAGCCAAAAGAGTGGCATTCACATTCATCAACGTTCCCCTTAAGAGCAAGGTAGGCAGAGATACCTAGAAGAGTGCAGATCTTTATACTTTTTGTTAATGAACATCAGGTCCATGGCTAGGAAGTCAGCTTGGGTGGAAATGCTGAAGCTCCTACTTACTTGCCATTGCCTCTGGACGATTTACTTAATGTCACTGAAACTCAGTCCTCCAACATGGGATTTCTAAGCTCATTTTCACTTGAGATTTACTCTCACCATCAAAGACAAGATGTAGGTAAAGTGCCTGAACAAACATTAGTTTCTGATGCACTTAACCAGTATCACTGTCCTCATTTTTTTCTTAGTTAATATGAAGTATCTTCTGTTGATAGGCACTGTGCGATAGGATTTGTGTAGATTATCCCACTCATTTCATGTTCAAAAGAGCTTCCTAGGAAACTTCCTTCACTCACCAGGAAACAGGTTTCAAGAGGGTGGGTGTTTCCCCTAAGAGAGGATGCATGCTAGGGTTCACATGGACTCAGGGAGAAGGCTCACTTTGTTGTTCACATCTTCAGCAAGAGCATCTTCAAGAGATATAGGAGAGTCCCTCCCCCTGGCCCAGGGGATTCAAGGAGTGGGAGTTCTATCAGAAAATTTGGAGGTAGGTGCTAGAGAGGCTAACAACAGAGTCTTGGACTTGAGTTCTGAACTTTTTTGGAGAGTCTGATGGGGAATAGAACCTAAACAGTGGGACATTGTTTCCAGAGAAATGGAATCGAGTCTTCTGGGCTTTGCTTCTACAATAAGCTATTTTCCCTATCTGGCAATAGAAGAGCAGTTCTCACACTTCTGATGGATGTCATATGCAGCCATCCTTCCCCATTACTCCAGCATCCTCAGAAGATGGGTGCTAGGGTTCTGTGCCCACTCTATCCTGTCTTTTCCTGTCCACTGTGTTGTCAACCATTGGCTCAAATGAGGTAGGGTGTGTATGCAAATGCACCAAAACTAAGATTGAGGATCTTTAGTACCTTTCTTGGGGATTCTTTTACAGACTGCAGAAAACTACCCCTGAATAAGCAATGTCCATTTCCCATGATATAGAGGGGAGGAGGGAAAAGGCTATCCTGTTTACTTCACAGATGGTTAGTTTGCATTGGCTTTCGGTGGTCATAAAGGTGACTTCTGCTAAAGTGGGATTGTGGCCCTTGCTAAGTAAAAGAAAAAGAAACTCCATGAATGAAAAGCATTGCAAAGGAAATCCTGGCTTAATCACATGGCATATAAAGCTATGTGCATTGTAAGGAAAGGAAGTATAATTTATAAGAGGTGAAACTTTAATCCCTGTAAAGGGCTCAGTTGAGCCCACCATAAATCTAAATTCCCCTGAAATAGCTATGCTTATATTGGTAATACATTAAAAGATCTCTTCTTTTTACTCCACTAATCCCACCAGGGCAGCATTGAGTAGTTAATAAGATTTCTTTCCCCCTGAATATATGCAGTGAACTTCATAGGCACCTGCCTTCAATGTTATTTTTTTCCCCTTGTGACTTCCGTTTTTATTTTAGAAAGGAAGTCTTTCATTGAAAACATTAAGGTGAGCTTAAATTCTCCAGAAGAAATAGATTGCTTAGTGTGTTAGTTGGCTGAGTTTTCAAAATTACTTCTAGAGAGTTGTTTCTATAATTTGAGGGCTTTCTTACACCCCCATTCATTTCATGGTAGAATGACTTCTAACATTTTTAAAATATCTCATGATGTTTCTCAGGTTTATGAGGGTCTTTTAGAAATAGAAAATATTATAAACTATTTTTAAATTGTTAACTTGTAACTGATGTATGTAGTGTTTTTAACTTACTGTACTACTTTTAATTTAGAAATAGACAAGAAGAAATATTACAAGTATAGTGAAGAAAAGACATTGAAGTGGCTGGAGAAAAAGGTATAGTACCTCTCTTCTGCTTTTTTTTTTTTTAGTATTTTTTTATTGTAAAGAGACTGTACAGAGGAGTTATAATTACATAAGTAAGGTAATGAGTACATTTCCTTTCTAGCATTGTTACTCCCTAACTCTTGTATCTCTCCCCCACCCCCAGTTTGTAAAGTTTGTTTTCAACAAAGTGTCTTGTATGTCTCATTGTTAAAACAGGTCAATCTGGGGCTGGGAAGATGGCTCAGTGGTAGAGTGCTTGCCTTGCATGTCTTGAGGCCCTGGGTTCGATTCCTTAGCACCACATAGCAAAAAGAAAAAAAGCCAGAGGTGGCGCTGTGGCTCAAGTGGTAGAGCGCTAGCCTTGAGCTGAAGAGCTGAGGAACAGCGCCCAGGCCCAGAGTTCAGGCCCCCTACCGGACCCAAAAAAAAAAAAAAAACAAAAAAAAAAAACAGGTCAATCTGTATCCTTGTTTCAGCATTTTGTTACTTCCTTTCCCTTCCCCAAATTAGAAAAATGTATGTATAAGATTCTTCTGCTGCTTTTTGATTAAAAGAAATAGTAATGTTGGTTCTAAAAAAAAATCCTTAGCTAAGGCAGTAAGACTGGGTCCAAAGGCCATCCTGTATATCCTTTATAAAGAGAAAAACTGTATAAAAAGATAAAAGGCTGGTCCTACCACTGAATGCAAGGATTTTCTGCTGTTGGTTAATGCAGACTCATATCCCTAAACCACATCATGCCAGGCCTGATGTTGTTGGGTGTGGTAACCCCACAGCTACCTCCAGAGATGTTGTTCCTCAGCTCAAGAAGAAAAGGGACGAAGGAAGGGAGGGAGGGAGGGAGGGAGGGAGGGAGGGAGGGAGGAAGTATTACATGTAAGTTTTGTGCTAGGGTTTGTTCTAAGGCTTTACATTGGACTCATAGGACTCATTGGACTCATAAGACTCCTGTGGAAATAGGTACTAGTTTTTTTGCCAATTTCACAGAGAGGTCAGAGAGATGTAAACTAACCAATGATCACAGAGCAAATCCAAGCAGCCTCATTACAGAGTCAGTGTTCTCATTCACCACAACATGCCATCTCCCCTACTGTGGAGACCTAAGCAAGTCCATGTATTGAGAGCACCAGCATTGATTCTCAGCATCTCTCCAAATCCTCAGCCATCCCATCTTCTGATAGCTGGCTCTCAGGTACTTCTTAAATGGATTGAGGGCTATCTGTAAAGTCAAGGAGTTCTAGAACTAAGGTGAAAGAATCCTGATTCCCCTGTGGTTGCTTCTAGGTTCATCAAACTGTGGCAGCTTTAAAAGCCAATAATGTCATTGTTGGTGCCCGGGTCCAGTCATCTCTGTTCTCTGGTGACCAGGTTTCTAATGACAAAGAAGGTAAGTAAATCAGAAATTATTTTTGTTTGGAATAAGTTCTTTTTTGTTGTTATTGTTTCTTCAAATGCTTATCTAAGGAGTTAACAATCTTACTGTCCCAGAATTAAGATACTGTCACTCTTCGTATTCTTGCCAGTATGCTCATTGGTCTTGCCAGTATGCTCAGTGTGTTCTTTCAAAATTCAGCACTATTTCTATCTCACATCATGACTGCTACTAGTTGCTACTTGTGTCATTTCATTCAGCAAATGGCTCTGTTTTTTAAAAAAAATATATATTCTTTTGTTTTTGGGGGGGGGGGGGTTAGTCATGTGGCCTGAACTCTGGGCCTGGGCATTGTCCCTCAGCTCTTCAGCTCAAGGCTAGGGCTTTACCACTTGAGTCGCAGCACCACTTCTGGCCTTTTCTACTTATGTGGTGCTGAGGAATCGAACCCAGAGCCTCATGCATGCAAGACAAGCACTCTACCACTGAGCCACCTTCCCAGCCCACAAATGGCTCCTTTAGATTAATAATGAGAACAACCTTAGGGACCCTTGCTATCATTTATTGAGTGTGTGATGTGCCAGGCCCATGGCTAACTGGCCTATATAACACACATTTCTCATCTGACCTCACAGGAAGGCTCAGGAAAGTTGAGGCTCACCCTAGAGTTGCCTTACTAGCAAGTGGCAGGGCTGAGCTGTGGATGGTTCTTGGCATTCTCTATCCCCACTCTTCACCTTGTTGTTGGGCGTACTGTACCCACACTAACATAGGAAAACCGCACATAGACTTCATCTTTGCTGCAGTTTGTTTCCATGAGGCATATTTCCTTAGATAGCTCTCAATGTTTTGAACTTAGATGAAATTGATTCACTTGGCAGTTCTTTTCTTTTGGTTACCAAGGAACTTTATTTTGCTCTTTTCAATATAGTGTCCTTTTATTTTTATATTTACAAATACATGAACAATTATGTATTGCAGTTAACATTCCCAAATGGGTGGTGTAGAAATTATTCTAATCTTAAGCTCTAATTTAGTATTTTCTTAACCTGGTTATGTGACTCCTAAAATCTGACTTCAGCCATTAAAAAGCAAACACACACATGCATACAAACAGAAAATAGACTGAGGAACAGTGGCCTGTTTGTGAGTGGTAGTGATTCAAGTAGTCTTTGATTTGCAGTAATCTATTTTTAACACCTTGTTTGTACATATAGGTAGCTACTAGGAGTAGCAGATGGCATACCTGCTAAAATGAGTTTACCAGCAGTTAGGGTCCTAAATGGCTTTAAGAAAAAAAGAGGAAGAATTAAATCAAGTGGATGGATAGGTGGATGGATGGAGCTATCAGTTGATAAAACCATATGGTCATTTTTCTAACAAAGGAGAAAGGATATTAGATATTTTTCAGGCAGATCTTACTTTAAGAATGGGAAACTATGATTCTAGAGAGATAGATGACTTATTCTGGCTGGTAAACAAAGTATTTTGCATTGAGTCCAGTGCTTCTGCTAAGATTCCCCATTTGAGGATCTCGGCTGGGCTGTTCTGCCTTTTAGTGTGTCCAAGAAGCTATTACACCTTACATTCTTCCTCTTATAGACCATTAACTTCATGTGGTAACAGCCAACGAACCGTATGTTGGCTTTCTTAAAATAGTTTTCTTTATCTCTTCATGGACCCTGGCATAACCATGAACATATTTTAAGAAGGGTCCAAACATAACTTCCACTTACACATTGACAATATAATCTGCCAAAGACCTTTTGAAATCAGGTGATCATCTGTAGAAAACTAAAGCTAGATCCTTATATATCATCCTGCACCAGAATCAACTCCAAATGGATCAAAGACCTTGGAGTTAAAACAGACACCCTGAAAACATTGCAGGAAGGAATAGGAGAAACCCTATATCTCCTTGGCACAGGCCTAAATTTTCATAATAGAGGCCCAGGAAACACAACAAATCAAAGAAAGGTTGGACAAATGGGATTGTATGAAGTTGCAGAGCTTCTGCATGGCAAAGCACATAGCTAGCAAGATCAATAGAAAGCCCACGGATTGGGAGAAGATCTTCACTAGCCATGCAACGGACAAGGGTCTCATATCTAAAATATACATGGAAACCCAAAAATTAAATCTCCCAACAACAAATCCTCAAAGAAACAACTGTGCCCGATAAATAAGTGGGCTAAAGAAACTTCTCTGAAGAGGAAATACAAATGGCCAATAGACATATGAAGAAATGTTCAACCTCTCTAGCCATAAAAGAAATTCAAATCAAAACTACATTGAGATTCCACCTCACCCCAGTTAGAATGGCTATAATCAAGAACTTTAATAACAACAAATGCTAGAGGGGATGTGTCCAAAAGGGAACCCTACTGCATTGTTGGTAGGAATGTAAACTTGTTCAACCACTTTGGAAAAGCAGTATGGAGGTTACTCAGAAGACTCCACATAGAGTGCCCCTGTGACCCAGCACTCCCACTTTTGGGCATTTACCCAAGTGATCACAAGCAAAGCCATACAAAGGCTACCAGCACAACTATGTTTATCTCAGAATTATTTACCTAAGATATGGAACCAACCCAGATGTCCCTCAGTAGATCAAGAAAATGTGTATATATATATACAAAATGGAATTCTATGCCTCCATCAGAAAGAATGACATCGCCCCATTTGTTAAGAAATGAAAAGACTTGGAAAAAATTATATTAAGTGAAGTAAACCAGGCCCAAAGAAACATAGGTCCCATGGTTTCCCTTATTTGCAATAACTAGTACATGTATAGGACAAGCAGAAAAGGTCAAAAGCTATGTACATATAACCATATAAGATGGTGTTAAGCGAAATGAACCCCAAGATAGGGACACAGTATCTTTTTTCTTTCTTGTTATTGTTTCAATTTGATGTCAGTGCTTGTATCTTGTATATATACCTCCTTAATTCGGGAAGAGGAAGGAAAAAACAAAATGGTTAAATAAGGATAGAGATTGACCCATTGTAACAATGAGATGTACAAAACACTATGTTCAAAACGAACTTTACAACTTTTGGCAGAGAGGAGGAGAGGAGGGTGGGAGGGGAGGTAGTTGTGGAGGTGGGAGGGAAAGGATGGTAGAGGGAAAACAAAGGAGGAGGCAACAATGCTCAATAAGAAATGTACTCATGGGCTGGGAAGGTGGCTCAGTGGTAGAGTGCTTGCCTTGCATTCATGAGGCCCTGGGTTCAATTCCTCAGCACCACATAAGAAAAAAGAAAAAAGCTGGAAGTGGCACTGTGGCTCAAGTGGTAGAGTGCTAACCTTGAGCTGAAGAGCTAAGGGACAGCACCCAGGCCCAGAGTTCAGGCCCCATGAACCGGACCCCCCCCCCCCCAAAAAAAATGTACTCATTACCTTGCTCATGTAACTGTAACTCTTCTGTATAGCATTTTTACAATAAAAAAATGTACAAAAAAAAGAAAAAAAATGAAATCAGGTCATCACCAGATGGCAGTAATTTTCTAAATAGTGTTGAGCCACATTGAAAGTAGAAGAGAAAAGAAGGAAGAAGAAAGTAAGTGGACATCCCAGCAGCAAACCTGAGGTCAACTGTTGGTATTTTATATAGCCCCTGTGCTTATCCCATTTGAAGGTTAAATTCAATTGTTCATCATATTTTACACAAAATACTGAAGTAGGAAAGAGGATTTGGAGACAGATTTCGTTGTAACTATTTAATGTGATGTCAGTGTTAAGGGTCCAGATGCTAGAAAATAAATTATTAATTATATATTCGGCTGAGTAAGTTTTTTTCATTTTTTTGAAAAGGTTTTATTTTTTTAATTTGGGAGTGTATATAATGCTGTTAGGAAGCAAATATCTAACAGGCAACTCATAGAGATGATTTTATTTACTATTTTTATTTTATTTTGCTTAAATCCTAATACTCATTACTGCTTAGTTATTACATTTATTCTATATGAAAACATTGTAGAAAAAAGTTACCTTAAAAGAAATGCATATGCCTTAAAAGAAATACACATGTAGCCGGGCACTGGTGGCTCACGCCTGAAATCCTAGCTACTTAGAAGGCTGAGATCTGAGGATTGTGGTTCAAAGCCAGCTCGGACAGAAAAGTCTGTGAAACTCTTATCTCCAATAAACCACCAGAAAACCGGAAGTGGCGCTGTAGCTCAAGTGGTAGAGTGCTAGCCTTGAACTGAAGAGCTGAGGGACAGTGCTCAGGCCCAGAGTTCAAGCCCAATGACTGAAAGAATAATAATAATAAAGAAAGTAAAAAGAAATACACATATAATCCTAGCTACTCAGGAGGCTGAGAGCTCAGAACTGTGTTCAAGCCCATCTTGGGCAGGAAAGTCTGTGAGACTGTCCAATTAACTACCAAAAAACTGGACTTGGAGCAGTAGGTCAAGTGGTAGAGTGGTTGCCTTGAGCATAATAGCTCAGGAACAGTGCCTGGGCTCTGAGTTCAAGCCCAAGGATCAGCACAGGAAAAAAAAAAAAAGACACATGAATATCTTGTATTGTTACAATTGGCTTTTCATATTTAGAGACCTTGACTAAAAGCAACCTTGAATTTTAGTTTAGTTTACTGGCATCTGGTGGCCATCTAATGTTCAATATATCATATTTTTGGAATTATCTTCTGTATTCCTTCATGCCCTTACATATACGTATTAGTATCCCTAGTTAACTAATGAGGAAACTGAAGTGAGAGCATACATGAATTTCCTGATAAATCCAGATATACGAAGAATTTGAACTGAAGTCAATTTGACTATAAAACTATCATAATCTTACTAATTTTTTCTTTCATCATTTTTCTCTTTCAGAGGATTATGTTCATTATGCTCATGGTCTGATCTCTGATTACATCCCTAAAGAATTAAGTGATGGCTTATCTAAACATTTAAAGTACGTGTCTTTCATCTTTAGTTGTAATTAACAAGTCTTCATGCCTCTTGGTTTCCCCAGCAATGGCTTTCCTTGGTGGATGTGGGCTATGTCATACATGGGTCAGAGTTGATTTCTAATACAAATTAACTGACTGGAATGAATTGATTTGGAGAAATCTGCAGCAACTAGTGTGTGTTAAAATTAGAATCATTGCTTTGTATGATTGTAGAGGATGAGGTTTATTAAAATTTTATCCCGTACTGAGACTCACCTACTTTGGTTCTTTATGAATATTTTGAGAGTAAGAGAAGCTAGGCACAATGACTCATACCTGTAATCCTAGCTACTTGAGAAGTTGAGAGGATCTCAGTTAGAGGCAAGTCCTAGCAGAGAAGTTTGTGAGGCCCTCTCTCATCTGGTAGGTATGCATGGTGACATGTGTCTATTATCCTAAACTGTGTGGGAAGCTGAGATTGTGAGAACTGAGGTTTCAGGCCAGCTGAGGCCAGAAAGCGTTCAATACTTCTATCTCACTGGATACAGTGGTATGTGCCTGTTTTTCCACCTAGGAATGGAGGTCTGAGGGTAGGTGGCACAACGTGAGACTCTTAAAGATAATAGCACAGCTATTCACAATAGCCAAGTTGTGGAAACAGCCCAGATGCCCTACAGCAGCTAAGTGGATTAATAAAATGTGATACAGATACATAATAGAATTTTACTTATTCTTTAGAAAGAATAAGAGTATATCATTTGTAGGAAAACGGATGGACCTAGAGCAAATTATGCTAAGTAAAGTAAGCCAAGCTTAGCGACAGGAATGGTACATGTTTTCTCTCATATGTGGAAGTGAGAGCTAAAATATAACTGGGCATGTTAACCTAGGCATTCATACTAATGAATGGAAGGATACCCTTAGGAGAGGAATGCAAAGATATAACTTCTCTGAACATTTAAAATATTATTTATTAAAATAAACTCCGGGAAATGGAAATGTAGGGATTTTGTTTTTATTGTTGGTAGTAGTGGTGATGGTATTTGCTTTTTTTGTGTGTGTGTGGTTTTTTTTTTGGGGGGGGGGGTCCGGTCTTGGGGCCTGAACTCTGGGCCTGGGCGCTGTCCCTCAGCTCTTCAGCTCAAGGCTAGAGCTCTACCACTTAAGCCACAGCGCCACTTCCTGCTTTTTTCTTTTTGCTTATGTGGTGCTGAGGAATCGAACTCAGGGCCTCAAGCATGCAAGGCAAGAGCTCTACCACTGAGCCACCTTCCCAGCCCTGGTATTTGTTTTTGCTTTGGGTTTTTTTTTTTTCCTTTGGGGGTGGGGGAGAGGATACAGAGAAGGGAGAGAGGTAGGTTGAATAAATGCATTCATATTATTTAGTATACACTATGTGAAAAGGGATGGAAGAAGGAAATGGGATGGAAGGAAGGGATGACATTCTCTAAAAAGAAATGTTTGCCTGGATTTCTTAGCTGCTTGTCTAGAGACTTTATGTCTTGGAACTTCATTATTTGTTTAGATCTTTTCAACTGAAAATTTTAAATTTGGGCTAAAGATTTGGGAGGCAGAAATAATGGAAATAGAATTTTTGTTTAATAGAAGAGTTTAATAGAGTTGTGTGGCTTTTCTGAACAGTATAATAATTAGAATAATTTGTACTTGCAAATGAACTATTTATGAAGACAAAACACTCCAATGTCAAAATGAGAAATTATGGAGGCCAAAGAAAAAATGAGTTCCAATTTTATTTCTTAGACAATTCCCATATATGGAATTAAGTAGCAAAATAAAGATTCATTCATTTAAACAAATTGCATTCTTCACTCTGAAAAGACATGTGGAGGTAAAGCTATAATAAGGACTACCTAAGTCTTAAATTGGCCCAGATTCTCTATGAAAAACCATGACTATGATTCTTATTTTTAACTTCCTTAGGCTTCCAGAGCCTTCAACTCCATTGCCAAACCCTCCATCAAAGGTAAGAGACTGTGGCCAAGCTATCTCTAGGGGCTTGGAACAATATAACACGTTTTACCACACGAATTTAGCTTGTCCTCATGTATTTTAAAGCATACAAAATCCATCTTGCATGGAGTATTGCAATGTGGAATGTAGACTGTTCTCCAGTAGTATTTCTTATGTTTTTAGACTTTACCTGAATACTAAAAACTAAATTCATTTTAGAAAATACTTCTCTAAAAGTATTATAAATATATCTTTATTTATTTTTTAAAGATATGGTCTCACTACTTAGCCCAAGCTGGTCTCAAATTCACGATTTTCCTACTTCTGCTTTTGCATGCCAGGTATGGGCCATCATGCCTAGCTGAAGTCTTTTTTTTTGGGGGGGGGGGGAGGGGGGTATCTGGTTGTAGGGCCTGAACTCTGGGCCTGGGCACTGTCCCTCAGCTCTTCAGCTCAAGGCTAGCGCTCTACCACTTGAGCTACAGCGCCACTTCCGGCTTTTTTCTTTTTGCTTATGTGGTACTGAGGAATCGAACCCAGATCCTCAGGCATGCAAGGCAAGTGCTCTACCACTGAGCCACCTTCCCAGCCCTAGCTGAAATCTTAAGGTAGATGGATCGCTAGTTTTACTAATCACCCAGAATACGCTACACACAATTTAAACATAGTTTGCTGAATATAATTGTTAACACAAAGGTATACAGAACATGAGTTTTGTAACAAAGAATCCTTTGAAGAAAGATAACCTGGCTTTTATTCAGAATTTGAAATGAAGAATCTGTATGTAAATCTCATCTGTTAGTGGGAATCCATTTCCTCTTCTAGACTTCTATACTGCCACCCACAACTCCTCTACAAATTGTGTTAATTGCCCAGATACTAAGACTAGAGGAGCCAGTCAGTCATAAACCACACTTGATGGCAATCTAGCATGTCTCAGACTAGGCTACATCTCAGCTAAGTATAGTGCTGCTCCAAGCCAGGAAAATAAGCACATGTACCTCTTCTATGTTTGGTTGGTCCTTGCTCAGTTGAGGAATGGATGCCTTGTGAATGTGCAGTGCCCACATTGTTGATGCTAAATAACTTTCTTTTACTGTTCATTCATTCATTCCTTGGGCTTCAGAAGGACCAACATACTCTGGATTTTTTTTGTATCATGTCCTATATAAAGGTAATGGTGGCAGCTCTGAAAAAATTTATCACCTTGAGTCTTACTAGAAAATTGAACATGTATTCATTTAGAGCCATGTTTGGTAGATTATTAAAGCAGATATATCTTTTACTCTTCTGAAGAATAGCATTGGATGGAAATCAATTGCTCTTAGAAAAACTAGGAATTAATCTCTGAGAATAGCTTGGGGAACACAGAAAAATAACCGTCTTGCTATAACTAAGAAGGTAGGCGCTCTAAAAGTAATTGCTTTTTATCTCTCTCCATCAGAAAAATTAGGAATGTTTCTTTTCCTCCCCAAATATATCCACTGATTCATCTAAACTTGTTCTTGAAGATTTTAACCTCTGTTATTTCCTGGAGTAATGCATTCCATCGTTTATTTTTCTCTTTTCCACTTTTATTTCTAAAATTTAGGTCATTTGTATTTTGTTTTAGATTTTGACTTAGATTCAGGGTCTGTTTAGATTCTGGTTCCTAAAGCATAAGTCTCTGCTAAACTCTTGTTTTTGTGGTGAGAAAACATCCCAGACAACACATTGTAAGTGAACTAGTATGGCCAGGTTCCAACAAAATTACATTTATAAAATCCAGGGCCAGCTGGATTTGGCCAATGGGGGCATAGTTTGTCTCTTTTTCTTTTCCTGATTTAGAGCTCAGAATACTGTCACTGAACCTCAGCCTCACTTCTTAGGTTGTATTAGTTGCTTTTCAAGGCTTTCTTCTCTGTACGTTTTCCTGGGATTCTGGGGTACACGGTATATATTGTACTATAGGTTAAACAAGTGTAAGCTAAGTTTCTACAAGTTTACCTGTGTGTGCCCTGGATTTGACTGATTTTTTTTTTTTACAGCAACATCCTTGATTATTTTCAGGAAATACCTTCCGACAGCCATTGGGCATCTCTGTCTGTATTTGTAATGGATAGATGGAGTTCACTCTCCTTATTTTTTACCTCATTGTCCCTTATTATCACATATCTGTCTGTTCTGAAGCTGGACTTCCTCCATTCCCTTCTTTAGTTTTTTGAATTTGTCATTGTCAACTAGCAGAGCTGAATGCAGTCAGGGGTTTGGAGACGTTCCCAATCTCTTTCTTGTTAACTATCTGCAAGATGGTAAGTCCAGGCCTGACATTAGTCTCTGTGGTGCTCTTCTGTTCTCTTCCAGAACTCTCTCCCTTTGGTGGTTATGTCCATTGTACTGGCTTCTGAGACACTCATCTCTTTCTGCTGAAGTATCTCCCCAAACTATAGGGTTTTGGTCTTTTAAATAACAAGAATCTCAATAAATATGACGATCCTATTTTTCAAACATTTCCAACAGTGTGCTGGGAATAACAAAAATTAGTTATGGGCAGAAAGTGTAACAATTATTTTTTTTTTTTGTTAGATGCACTTGTAACTCATGTCTTGTTTGAATATGTGCTATTAAAAGATCTGACCAACTCCTTGCCCTTAATAAACATTTCATATTCATCTGGAAATATATTTGTCTTAGGTTCTAGCCATGAACTTTTTACAACTTGAACTGTCAAGTTGCAAAAGTGAATAATGTGAATAATGTCCTATAATAATGTCCAAGTATTTATAATGACTTATCTGTGAGATACAGTTCATTGAATATATCCTCATGTCTTCAAGTTCTGAAACAGTTGTGGCCTTCAGCATTATAAGCTGTAAGTTCCACTTTACTGGTTGATGATAACTTTCTAGTTAAGATAGGCATTCCCTAACTGCGATTTTCTTTTAAATATGAACATGTATTCATGAGATACATCCATTCACTTTGTGTTGGTGAGTCATTGATTTGTGGTAAATTAGCCTTTTCCTTTTAATGATTTATTTGCTAGAGATTGCTTTGTGGCGAAGGGAATTCTCCTTTTTTTTTTTTTTTAATGGCAAAAGCTTTTGAAAAACTTTAATAGTTTTATCTCCACCTGTCATGGAGGCATTGACATCTGTTAGCACCACCTGAACTGGTGCTTTGGTTAACAAGGCAGGGGTATGAAGAAGAGATCTGGAGACTAATCTCTCTTTCCTAGGGGAAATCCGTGTTGACTCTTGCTGCATATTTCCACTAACAGCTTAAAGGTCTTTAAAACTCCAAATTATAATTACCATATGATCAATCCTCCATGTCAAACAAGACTAATCTGCCCTGCTTCTTACCTTTTCCATGAAGTGTGGCCATTCTATATTATAATTATTAAGGCCATTATTCATTATTAAGGTCTGGTTCTTGCTAGGATTCTCACATGCATTGGTGCAAAACACTCTAGTGAAAGATGAAAATACAACGATTCAACTTAGCTACATTGAGCCTAATGGGAAGGACACTTTTATAAAAATTAACATCTCAATGAAGCCCTCTACTAGGTGCTATTAATTTAGGTTTCCTCTCTTACCGGCTGATTGTTGTATATAGCCATTCTCATGTGGATAAATTGAGATAGTTGAATTAAAAAAGAGGGAAGGATATGAAGCTACTCATAGATGGTAATAATAGAATAATGCTGCCCTATATTCATTTTGAGCATAAATCAGCCCCAGATGTGGAGATTGCAGCTGGACACCTGGCTCCCTATAAGGGAATTCTCATCTTTAGCTTTCATGATTTGCATTTTGCCTCTTAACATCCTTTAAGTCTACAGCACCCAGATGCCCACTGAAGCTGGTATATACAAACCGTTTATTTTGTTAAGGGGCTGAGGCCAGGTTGTGTCATATCCCATCATCACCATGGATTCTTTCTGGAAGTGATGTGCGGCTTCCTTCCCTAGGGATTGGTCCAAATAAAAAGCAGCTTATAAAAGTAAAATCATTGCCAGCTTTGTGCTCCTCTGTGTAGGTACAAATTTGCACATTTAGTTGCATGGTTGTTTTTAATGGATTGGTATAAGTGGCAGAGTGATATTTGATGCTCTTCACTGCTCTAACATTGCAGAAACAAAAGTTATCAGATGAGCCTATAGAAGCAAAAGAAGATTACACTAAGTTTAACACTAAAGATTTGAAGACTGAAAAGGTATGTTTGTCCAGGTGTAGTGGCTACTGTCTGTCCTCATACCTCAGTGAGTGATACAGTACACATCCAGAAATAATTGCATGCTTGATTGTGGATACAGTTTTGACTGGGGAAAACTATTCACTTGCATTTCTGTAGCTTAATAGTTCATTCAAAATAGTGTATGGTAGTGAAAGCATTAAGGCATTAAGACCTTTTACACACCAAAGAAAAGCATTCTGCTTAGCAACAATGCCCTGAAGTTTTGCCAGGTTTGTTGGTAGGTGGGAAGTTTCACTATAGGTAACTCTTTTGTCACCCTAACTTCTCCAGAGCTTCCCAGAAATTAGAGTGATAAAAATTATTAATAATAATTCCACTAGTCAGCATTCACCTTACAAATGTGAGTTGGATAACATTTTTTACTTAGTTGTACATGCTTTATAATAACAGGTAGCCTTTAAAATTGGCATTGTAATACTTACATAGTTTCTGGTTCTGCCCCTTTCAGTTATTGGTATATTGTGGAAAGGTTCATGTATCATTATACATTCTTTGAAATCATAATCATGGTTTCGTGATACCCAATCATAAGTCTTTATTCCATCATAAGGGATTTGGCATTTAATCAGTCTTCTGCATGTAGACATACAGATTACTTCTAGATTTTTTTTAATGAAAGGATAGATAATTTTTTTTACAGCCTGCATTTCTGATTATTTCATTTGACACAATTTAGAACTAAATTGGGGACCATGAGCTTTGACATAATTGAAATTGTGCTCAAGTCTCATCCCGTCCAGTCATCCCCACACCCCCCCCTCCGTCGTGGGG